ATGATTTTTGGGTTTTCTTCTAGGAAGCTTAATTTTTTTTTTTTTCAGAGATATTCAGAAGATCTAGGATTACAAACTTCTTTTAAAAGGTGCTGATTTTAGCCTTGCCAAATTTCACTTGTTAGTTAGGTACTTGAATACTTTTTGAAGGTCTCATTCGGGTGCCTGTGGTGCACCAACTCATCTCACTGAAGTTACCTATCCCCAATACACGTATGTGCATCTGATTTAGTCATCTTCGCTCTCTTTGTAGTCTGGGGAGGGAAACAAGTGCTTCTGGGTCATGACTTGCTTCATCACCAGGTAGGTGTACAAATCATTTGGCTTATTTTTGACGTTAGAAAGCACTTGTTTCTCCCCGTTGATGATAAAGGAAGCCTAGACAGCTAGCTTGGCTGTAGCCTTCTAAACTGTAGGTTTCTGTAGTTAAGAGGAGACAAATCCTACCTCTGAAGTGTTACTGAAATCCCAAGGGATTATGCTTGTTTATGTTCTTAAGTGCTATGAAATGGTTATAATTGGGGAATGTCAAAAAGCTCTAAAATATTTTTCAAATCATTTACATTATTTGGTTTCAGAGAATTTATGAGACTTGATTTTGGAAGCTAAGATGATTTAAAACTTAAATTGTTTGAAGAAATAAATCATGTTACATTTCTATCAAGTTTCTTTGTGCTAGTGATATAACATTTTAAATACTTATTATTTTCAGTATCATTTTAGAATCTTGAGTCCATTTAGAAAAAGAATATGCTGGAGATATGGTTTAGGCTTGTAGTAGTAAAACCAAGTTCTTCCCTCAGTATGTCAACATTACATATCTTAGTGTGTTCTGAGTATAGGTTGTTTAATAATGACACGGTAGAGTAGCCTTGGTTTAATCTACATATTTACAATAAAAGCTGCTTAATTGGAACACAAGGCATACTTTAGTTCATCTTGATTATGCAGCTGTCCCATTATCATTATTTATTATATACAAAAAAGACAGTATTATGTTAGGCATACCAATTAAATAAAGTTTATTTCGTTGCTTAATGTTACAGCCTTGTGTGTCTGCAGCTCAGCCCAGTTCCGCTAAAGCACTTGCATCATTCTGTGACCCATTTTGTGTTCCATTATAACGGGTCAATATCTTGGTTGCTATTGTATAATGCAGAATGAGGTTACAAAGATGTGGGTAATTTTTTCACCTTTTTCACCTTTATCTTCAGTGTGTAATTGACAGACTAGTTAAAGTAAAAATCATGGCAACAAAACAGTTTTTCCTGTTATGTTTGTGCCACTAAAGACAGACCATACACTTAAATTTAGAGGGAAAACCATTTTTTGGATGCATGTTACATACTATTATTTAGGTCTGTCTGAAGATTTTGAGCTGTGTAGTAGTGGTGAATGGCAATTTGTTTCTGTCCTGACAAATCCTTTTACATGTCCCATCTGTTTAAAATGTGCAGAAAACTGAGTCCTTGAATGGCCTGGAAGTTAAATGAGTTACAGTCTGGTTTGTGTCTTACTCTATTAATTTTTAAAATGTTCAATCATAGATTATAATGATCCAGATAACAAATAAATGTCCTGTTGTAAGCAATAAGGTTTTGTCTGACACTTGAAGAAGTTTCTTCCATTATTAGCCATGAATTTCATGGACAAACTTAGAGATCATGCCTGAGATGTGCAGTCCTGTGACATAGATGAGTATTCCTTAAATGTTGAATTATTTCAAACAAGTTTAGGTTTTGGTTTTATGTTGAGGTGCCTTATAATTTTAAATCGCAGTAGAACTTAGTCCCCTTTCCCCCATTGCTCTGTGACTTTCCTGTTTCCAAGCTCCATCAGAAAACTGTATGTAGCGCTCAGAAAGGTAAATTATGTAAAATTATTCACTTCCCTTACCCTAAACCACACCCAAAAGACTTCTTGAAAGCTCTAGAGCTGAGGATTCACCTGTGCAAACTGAGTAGCTCATCCCTTGATGGCTGGGTGCAGCACATGCTGCTGTTCCTCTGGTTAGAGGAACGCAGAGTTGCCTGAGAGAGACCAATGGATGTGGGACCAGGAGCAGGGGGAGGCTTGTCCCAAGATCACTGGGTTTTTCCTCAAGGAACAGTCCATTTTGATCTGACTGCAGGCTTAACTGTACCACTTTCTAGGTTAATGCTGTTTAGGAGGCCTATGCCTCTAGTTCACATGTACTAATGCAATGAATAATGAAGAGATCATCCCTATGCTCCTGTTAAAGACAGAAAATTGTTGTTATCCCTGTCAGCCTGTTGCTAACACTAGTGCAATTCCAGCATGAGGTAGAAAAAAACCAAATCGCGTTCAGGAGTGTTCACTGCCTCTTGAGACTTAATTTGGTGGTGTGTGCGGGAGTGAAGGCAACTGCTGTGCGTTCAGAGACCGGGCTGTTCAGTTGTGAGTAGTTAAAAAAACCAAAACCAAACAAACACCACCCCACCACCCCACCCCCCCAAAAAAACCCAACCCAATGAAGAGGTAAGAGGCAGAAAAGCATATTCTGACAGCTAAGAGAGTGCTTGGGGAGGAAGGGGTGCTTTTGTGCCAGTAATGGGCTCAGGGAATTGTCTGTTTCTTGAAGATGTCACAGGTTTGACCTCAACTTCCAGACTTTGATGTTACCAGCACGGAAGTGGGGGCCACTAACTAGCAAGGTGCATAAACAGCCCTTTTGTGGGGTTGCAGGTTTTTTGGAAATAGGACATTTTAAAGCTTGTTAAAATTACTTTAATGAATGGTTTCAGTTTAGATGCAAGTTTCATGGCTTTAATAGATGTTTTCATTTTTTTTTAATAATAATTATTTGAATTGTTTAGGTTTTTTGACCAATAATGTGAAACCTTTGACCTTTGGGAATGGAGTTAAATATATGAAGTTTCTGTCTGAGAAGAAAATGAACTAAAAAGGTGATAATCTGAAAATAGCATGGGGTTTTTTTCTAATTAGTGTCAATTATTTCCTCTTCACATGTTGCAGATAGTGTCAAAAACAAGGTGAGGTTTACCAGAAAGGTATCTGGCCATAGTTAATGTAATATGAGCTGCTGCAACAAATGCAGTTGCAAAACACCAAGATTGGCAGGTTGGTGGAGTGTAGGGTAGTGTTTATGAATCAGATTTACCCTGGTTCTTTCTGTTATCCTGTTTCCTGTTTATATTTAAGGTCTTCAAAGCATGTTACACCACCTCTTGGTTCCCCTTGGTTACCTAACACAGAGCTGTACAGGAGAGTTTATGACTTCTTTTGAAATTATTTCAGCAGCTGAATGATTTACTCAGCAGCCTTCCATGGCTGGAACCTCATGAGGGGTTACTGGTTCCCTTAACACCGAGTGAACACACAAATGGAGCTTTGTTAGCAAGTAGTTATTCGTGCTGCGTAACTTGGGTACCAGATGTGTTTTGATGGATAATTCTTGATCCTTCCAGTACCTGTCAGACATTATTTTGGCATTAGCAGCTAGAGTTAGACTGGTGACTTCTTTCTGCTCTTGTCCTGGTACTATTCCCAATCAAGGAAAACTTTTGGTTTAGTTCTAAACCTTTTTTTTTTTCCTACCTAACCATTGGTGTAATTTCTGTGCTGATATGAGCATATTATTGATAAAACGCTAGCTGCCAATATGCTTTTAGTAGAATGCGTTCACATTTGGTGGTCTTCGAAGCAGCACTTCTTGAGAGCAACAGATTGCTGTGCAATTTTTGCTAATGCACAGTTGGCCAGCATCCCCATATTTCTAATAATGTCACCTGGTGTGTTATTTTTCTAGGAGATTTTTTACAGTGGTTTCTGAGACAGCAGTTGTCCCTTTAGGGAACCGTGAAAAATTTGAATCAACTCTTACAACTCCTGCTTTTCGTTCCACAAACTTTTCTTTTCATGATCATAAAAGAAGAAAAGGGAATAGAGATGGTGATAGTGACAGTAACAGAAAGGAGGTGGGAGAGCTGTCTATAAAATCTTCATGAAATCCACTGTTTCTGGAAATACATGCAGGTATATCACCATTTGTCATTAATTACCTGGTTTTAAACAAGAGATTTTGAGATTCCAACAGAATTACTTCTCCAAAAACTGCTTTGATTATGTCTTATTCCCAAGGAGAACCAACTTTATGATCTGTGCTGCTTTTTTTTTAACAGCATCTTGACAAGTAGTTATTCCAGAAAAGGAGTGATTCTTTTTCTCCAGAGTAGAAGTACCTCATTAGACTCATTCAGTGTAAGGCACTACTACTGTAGAAGTGAGTCTGTACAACATGTTAAAGACAAAAAGGCCTCCCTCAAAATCCAAATTTCATTGCTTAACTGTATGTCCTAAGTGTTAAGGTGGAATGCTGTTTAAGATTTTGATGATTGTGATTTAAAGCAAAATTAGTTAAGATACCATGGTTTATGTGCTTTATTAGGGATACATGTCCTTTAGGAAATAGCATTTTGGTGTGTTGAGGGTGAAAGAACCTTTTGCTTGTCTGTGTTGTATTATTAGCATGTGTACTAAGGCTTTTGCTCTGCTTAAAATACAACAGTCCCTTTAAAACAAAGTAGAAAAGTGACTCTCTTTAGTTTGGTACTAAGTGGTAGAAAAGTACTACTAAAGTAGCATTTCACACTTCTAAATTTCCTTGAGCTGTAGAAATTCAGTATCAACTATTCCCATTCCAGTTCCCTGTAATAATTGTCAACTTATTAGATTATTTTTTATTGGGGAGTTTTTTGACTCTAAATAACTTGATTTAGAGTTTTTGGCTGAGAGGTGTAAAGTGCATAGTGGTAAAGTATCCGTGATCAAACAGCTAACTTCGACTTTTCTTTGTAATTGTATGTCATGTGAATAGAAATAAACAGAGCATGATAGAAAAGAAGGTATTAATGGTGACTCTCTGATGATAAAAGGCACCTGAACATTCATGAAACGCTGAAATTAAATACCATCTACTGACCCATACTGGAACGTTGGTCCTTCTGAAACTTGCCTGAATGGAAAGCGCTGGTACTGACAAAGCATGTTACAAAGTGCAAAGTGAGTCTTTATCTGTCCTTTTTTAAAAGGAGGTGAATCGGAAAGCTTTTGCAAAGTAGCCTCTGGAGATATCAAAATGATAAACCAGCAGTGAAAGCCATTTGTAAGACATCTTTCTGCCTGCCTTAATTTGTGGCTCTGCTCTGCAAAGGAACTTTGTAAGAATGAAGCTTGATAGACACTTTGAGTGGTATCTGGGTGAAACTTTTATTAAAAAGACAAGATACTGTTACTATGTACTCTTCTTTCAGCGCGGTTCTATGTATTTCATTTTATTTACAGCTTTGAAGGCAGTTCAATTACTTGCGTGGTTCTGTATTTGTAAAACATTTCCTTTGATGTACAAGGCAAACGAGTCTTGTATCAGTTTGTTGTCCCACAGAGGTGCTGCTCCTTTGAGGCTGACAGAATTAACTTCTGCTTTTCCACTGGAATGCTTAGATATGAATGGAAGAGTTGTGTGAAATAGATTTTACAAGTAGGAATTTTTGCAAGAAGTACCATCTATTTAATGCATAACTGCTTTAAGCAGTGGGTATAGATAGTATCGTTCAGTTTCTAAGGGGTTACTCGAGCTTTAAGAGTGCACTGGTGGCTTAGGCTAGGTGCTTTTGCCCTGACACAGGGCAGAAATGCAGCGTTTCAAGTGGAGAACAGCACCTTAAAACATAGTGGCTAGCACCCAAGGAATTTTTGCAGTCTTATCCCTTGTGCTCTGTACATTTCAAAGCATAACTGACTGGTGTATGTGAATGGACAGTGTGCAAAGAATGTGCAGGAATTGTTTGTGCTTTTTGAAAGTACTTGAAAGGTGAAAGAAATATTTAAAAGGAAGCTCTTTCTGTAAGTGCCCCTGATGGGTAAATAAATACGTGATGATTTATGACTTGCTGTCCAAAGCTGAGGAGAACCAAAGGAAGAAATCAGCTTAGCAGTAGCAGATGATCTGGTTAAAGGATCACATAAAATACCTCATTCAAACCTGTGCCGTGACCATTTCAGAGACACTCAATACAATTTATTATAGTGCTTAGCCTGCAGTTTTCTTGGATAGCAAGAAAAAATAGTGTTATGAACAATTTTTAGATTTCAAGGTGAGGATGAAAGCATAGGAAGTGATTTATTTTTTTCAAATAAAAAATTTACAGTGAGCTACTGAATGAAAATGGTATGGAATTAGAAAAAAAATAACTTTGCTAATTAGGCTGGATATTATTAGTTATTTTTAATTTCCTTTTTTTTCCTTTTCTGTCCTTAGGTCCTATGCTGTAGCCTATGACATAATCATCTAGACAAATCTTTTCTTTTCCTCTTATAATGCGTCTTGCCCCATCCTCACTGTTTGTAACAGAGCTGATAAAACTGTCATCTTTGCTTATCTTACTAGCTACTTGCATCACAGTGAAGCTGTCTGCATAGACCTTTCTGCAGGCTTGAGGCTTCATGTAGACTTAGAACTGCAAGTGCAGCAATACCAGGTGTCCAAAACCAGACATTAACAACCTCAGAAGGTTTATCTTTTGAGCACTGGGACTTTTATGTACACTTTCAAGAAAGTTTATGTGTTGTGTTTTGTTTAAGCTAAGTATCAATAACCCCATATGCATTCTTCAGTCATGGATTTAGGATTTTTTTTTTTTTGGGGGGTGGTGGTGGGGAGTCAGGGGTTGTTTGGGGGTTAGTATTTTTAGTGTTTTCATCTTTGTTTTAGTGGAGCTAACATTTGCATATAAAACTTTGTTAGGATATGCCTATTTCAAGTGTTTGCTATTTCTACAATTATTCTCAAACACTGCTTGAATTTTATTGTTATAGCTGGAGTGCAGCTGATGTATATTTTATTCTCACATTGTGCACAGATGCTTGTATTTCTAATCTTTTTCTTGATGATTTAGGCATGCTCTAGAAATAAAATAATTGGTCTTACTGTAGAAGTTTTCAAAGCCAAGAAAATACTGTGCACAATTTGCTTAATAGAGTCATAGTGAAGTTACTTTTTTGTTTTCTGTTTTTCTAATGCAATAGAAATCAAAGGCAGAAGAGAAAAACAAGTTTGGTATTTGAAAATATCAAAGCTAGCATTGGCTTTTGCAATTATCCACTCAAAACCACCAGGGAAGAGTTGCAAAGAATACACTGAGCACCTTGCCAAAACTGTATCCGAACAAGATTTTGGATGGAAATCAAAAGTTGAAGTGCTGGAAGCTGAAGTTCTTCGATTACGTCAGGAACTTCTTTTGAACAAGATCTGTCCGAGATTCTGCTTGGAAAATGGTAAGTTTCTGAAACAATTTCTGACTGTGTTGCAGTCTCAAGGAAACAAACAGCATTCATGTTGCCTGCACCATTTCTTGTACCTAGATACTAGAGTCATCAGTGTACACGTTTCTCTTTTTCCCAAAGCCCTGAAGTAGTAGAGGACTTAATTCATTTGTAATAAGATTGAGCTTGAGAATTTGGTACTTACTCAGAACTTAAATTTTTAACGTTCAGGATCAATATGTATCATACGGAATAATTCCAGACAAAATTGTCAATACAAAGTGTTCCTTTATAACCTTGGAGATACTAGTTTGTAAGAATATTGATGTACCCTATTTACATTTGGAACATATATTAAAGACATACTGCATATTTTTTTACCACTTTAGATGCTTAGAATCAGAATTTAAGCCCAATGTTTTGAAAGCATGAATCCCTAATATGTATAATGGGAAGGTTGGACAGGCAAAGGACTGTATGTCTGCTATCTCTGTTCATGTATTTAGACTGTGGACACTGCGAATGTTCATTATGACATATGATAAAATAGTGTGAGTCTGATATTGTAGGATTCAGGAAAGCTGTCAGTTAAAGAATATGGGGGGAAAAAATATGAGCTCAAACAGCACTGTTTCTCGGACTTGTGCATGTGGAGTGAGTCATTCTCACTCGGAGAGATCAATGGTGCAGGATGAGCTTGGAAACCAGGCGGTGGAGGATGTCCCCGGGCTCTGGGGAGATATTCCCCAAAATGCTGTGGGCTGAAAGAGAGAGAGAGAGTTCACTGTTGAGGGGATCTCTAAAATCAAAATAGCTAGCCAGTTGCTTTATGACTTGAGATTTTTAGAACGTTCCGTGATAAAAAACTTGATGAGGCTTTATTGGAATGCTTTTGTACTGAAATGGTAGCTTCTTTATTGCCTTGTGAAAAGATTTCTGGATTCTAACTCTGACTGAGAGGGGGGATGTATTAGACTTTAGCTAGAAGGTCTAAAGATTTTTTTTTTTTTTTTTTTGTAAACCCCCTGCCTCTCTAGAGAAGTGATTTAATGACTATTCATACTTAGTTATTGTTTGTGTGTCTGTTCTCTGCAACTTATTTCAAACATGCAAGTTTATTTAACAGTGAAAGTAACTTTCAAGCTGCTGTTTACAAAAGGTGTCTTAATGTTGTGAAGAACTGATTGCATATGATACATATCATCAGAAGACATATATTAACTTCCAATGTCTGGAGAGGATATGCTAATAGTGGATTAAGCAGAACATGTCAAATACTAGAAATTAAATAAATTCTTCTGCAACTTCTGTGTTCTAAGTCTAACTTTTTAAAGATTCTTTACCCCAGGCTGTTGAACTGAGCAATATTGATATCTCACTTGCCAAAGAAAGCTCTTCTAGTTGCGAGACAGGCAGAGACAAGCAGCTATCTCTGGCGAATAACACTTCTTTCGAAGGATGTTAATTTTCATTGTCCTAGTCACAGTGGAGTTTCTTCACAGACCTAAAATGTGATAAAACTTGTATGACTTCAGATGTCTATAGCTGCACTAAATTTGCTGTGCTTTCTTCATTATCTGTACAGAGAATAGCAAGCTTACTATACAGTTTATGGTCCACTTGACCCATTGTGATATTCACTAATATGGATACGGTGAATTGTCCACAAAAGACATCCCTCTCGACTCTGCTAGCAGTAGACTGACTGGCTTAGAAAAAGTCCCGTGATTCCCAAATCACTGCTTCATAGATAGCTCTCTATTTTTTTATGGTCTCAGCAGCCTGTTCAAACATACCTTGGGTAGCTGACAAAGTCTCATTTTTCAGTGAAGCCAAACTTTAGTTTCAGTCTATGTTTAGCTAATGGAATCTTAAATAGTAGAGATGAGTATGTGGTATCTATAATCATTCTATATTCCTTCAGTTTCTCCAGGGTACAAAACCAACACCCTACTAATTTGAAGGTTTAGTGTGTAGCTGCTTTTACCTTCAAATGTTTGTTTATATTTATTATTTCACTGTTGATAAACCTGTTAGCTATTTCCAATGTTAAAAGGCTTTCTGTCTATGGGAGTTCACATCAGCCCCACCTGCATCATATGCTGTCCAAGAGGAGTAAGACATAGTCTTCCCCTTTGGTGTCTCCTAACCGGTTGGGTGTAAGAGAGCAAAAATGTATGGAAAATCTGAATTGTGTCATAATTTCTGTGTCTTCATACAGGTTTTCCTTAACATTGAAAAGACATTTTCGAGCTCTTGGAGTCTAACTTTGAGACTGCCATTTTTCTTTTGTGATACTTCTTACTTGTTTCTTTTGACTGTTTTTTTTTCTTTCCTTTTTTTTTTTTTTCCCCTTAAGCCTTGGTATGATGTGAACTCTTCTGATAATGGATTTGAGCCATATGTTATTTAGGAAAGATGTTCTTCAGCACCTGTGGTTGACATTTAAAGGAAGGCTTTAAGATGTAAGAAGCAAAGCCTACCTGAAATAGGGGCCACTCTACCACTGACACCGTCTGTTCTGGGAGAAAAAATTTCCTCTCTTCTGTCTTGTGTCAGTTTTGAGTTTTTTCAGATGCGTGGAGATTAGAAACTAAAGGTTGGCTACTGCTGAGATAGGAAGGCTCAAGGATCTTGAATCTAAATTGAGAGGAAAAATGGTGTAAGTGTGTTGCATCCTGTTCACCTGAAGGCTACCGTAGATTCATCAAGGCATTGTTATGGTTTGTTGTTGATGGTATAGTGCCTAAGTTTACTACCTAATAATCACAACAAAAAATTTCTCTCTAGGGCTGAGGATAACTGGGCTTTTTCTTAGGGCCAGATAATATACAGATAACATGGATCCTTTTTCCTCCTCCCCTCGTTTTTCCAGCCTTATTTTTGGAGTTGGTGTTCTACTTAAAACAATGCAACCTCTTAAAAAAATTCAAACACTCAGCTTTTGTTTGGCTTTCTTGTGTTCTGTTTAACAACTCTATAGATGCAAGAATACCAGGGTTTCACAAAATCCACCAGTGGAAAATCTCATGCAGTAAGGATCATTTGTGTCTGCTGCTGCCTGTTGAGAGCTGAAGAGTTCGAGTCCTTCAGCCAAGGTTCACTTTGCAGCTGTGTCTTCCCTGCTCTGCATTCTGAGTGTGAGAGCTTTCCTCTCCCACCTGCTGTTTATAATAATAATAGCAGGTCTTTCAGAGGCTTCAGGAATTATCAGAGACTGCCCATGGAGTTTTATTTCCCTGATGTGAGAAATTTGTGAGCTCTCTGAAGCTGTGATGCCTGTTTTCCTTCCCTACAAAAAGTTGCACACGGTATGGATGCACAAGTACGTGAAGGAGAAAGAACAAAGTATCCATTTTTAAAGATATGTTGTCTAAATTATTTTTGTCCCATCTGACTATATCTTTGTCCTCAGAGATGCTAAAAAAGTTTGGGTTTCCTTGCTGAGGGGGAGGATCATGCTTTGCTACAGGTTTGGTAGTATGGGTTGTTACAGTTTACTGTGTTTAGAAAATTATTGTGGTATATATTCACTGACTGTGCTGTGTCTGGAAGTTTCTTAATTGACTTAATGTGCAGCTGTCTCTTTGAATAGAAGGACACTGGTACTCCTTTTACATGGTGGTGCTTTTGGCTGCATGTCAGCCATCCGAGGAGGAGGAGAAGCAAATATTTTTGTAATTGTTTGTTATTTTTCACCTTGCCAGTATTGTCCTGACAACTATACCCATGGGTAGAAAAAAAAATCAAATTTCATATTAATCAAAGTTTCTTGCCTTTTTTTGATTCAGATTGAAATTTCGCAGAGAGGAGGAAAGAAACTCATTGGTGTTATTCCAAGAATAACAATATAAAATACTTGAGCATTCTGTTGTCACTTTTCTTTGGAGCTACATGAAAAGACAAAGGGTCTTACAAAGCATTGATGAATTGATAGATTCATGGTTTGAAGCACCTGTCCTCTAAGACAAATTCCTTAGCCGTTATCAGCTCATCAAATCAACAATCATATTGTTTCTTGGCAGCCTCTGTTAAAGAGATCTGAAAAGCCTGCAGCTGTTACTCCAACCTAAGAAGGCATAAATGCAATACTCTACCCTTTTTTGCCAAGCATGTATTTTAGGAATGACAATTTAGAGGAGAGGATAGATATTTATTCTCTTGGTTGCTTTAGGCTGATACTCTTGAAGGGTTCCAAATCTGTTATCCAGGATATCCAGGTATTCTCTCTTCCATAGCTTCAGCTTCACCTTCAATCTTGGTTCCAATTATTCCCTTCTTATGCAGTGGATAGGAATTTACTGAACTGCTTGCTCCTCTAATTAAAAAAAAAAAAAAAACCCAAAAAACCCCAACAGACCCCCCCCCCCCCCTTTTTTTTTTTGAGAATTAGTTCATTCTTCTTTTTGTAGATCATTTACAGTAGGACCTAATCTGTCGTGCCCTGAAGTCCCATCCTGTGTTCTTACGCTCCGCAGTAGCATATGGCTGCCAGCCCACCCTACCGTAGTGTGTCTGTGTGTTTAGGGAAATGCTGAACTCTGAGTCAGAATGTGATTAACGTGATTTTTAACTGTGTCCTGAGGCTGTGTTTGACTTTTCAGGATACTGTCCCTTAAATTCTGTTTTCTGTGTCAAAACATTTGAAGCAACTTGTCTCTCTTCAGGGAATAAGAGCCAGAGACAAAAAGAATTTTGTATGTCCTGTTTTACTCCTTAACTTAGTATGTTTCTTGAGGCATTTAGTAGTACATGTGGAAAAAGGGAGCAATTTCCTTTGCAGATTAGTATGAATGAAGACTCTTCAATCTCCTTTCTTTTTGATGGAAGCTCAGACTTACTGCAAAAGCAGAAGCATATAAAATTGGAACCAACCAGCTCATCAGCTGAAGTAAAACTGATTATAAATGATACACAACTCCAGTTTCCCAGCAGCCTTGTTTTGAGCCACAGAATTCAGCCACCTCTTCCCTTTCCCTTTCCTTGGGGAAACAGCCCATGGTTTGGGTGTT